AATATTATTTTATTGAAAAATTTGTGGTTAAAAAGAAGAAAGAAAAAACGCACTTTAGAAATAATGTGGATCAAACAAGATCTCGATATTTCTTTTTATTTATTTTAAAATAAAGTTATGTTTTTTTATTATTTATTTATTTATTATTATTATTTTTTACAACATTATATAGAAAACTTAAGTTTTCTTTCATTTCTTTAAATATTTTTATTTACAATATTGTCAACATATAATTTTATTTCATAGTCATTTCATTCCTTGAGGGATCGACTTGGTGATTTCTTAGTCCATCCTCTTTGAAGTGACTATTGAATCTTTATAAACTCTCCTCCTTAAATTAAGGTAAGCTGACCAACAGTTTTAAAACTTTTTGTTCAAATCGTTAATCGAAAAGTATGAATTTATCAATATACATCGTATTAGAAATAAGGGATGGCAAAACTCATCCGTATGATAAATCGTCATAACATAGATATATGTATTTTGTGTAATACATGAAATTATGAGATTTCATGTGCGCCCAAAAAAATACCATAATACGCATTAACGATACAATTTTTAATAGGAAGAATACACATATCCTTTGATCTTAAGCCGTGGCACCCTCCTCCTTTTATTTTATTTTATTTATTTATTTATTTTTTTTTGGTCCGAATTCTATGGCCATGAATTCCAAACATGTAATTTCTTTATAACCTTATGAGCACACTAAAAAATAAATTATTAATCTTCTTCTTGAATATTGATTTTAAATTTATACTTTTCCTCGAGTAATAATACAATATTTCCTCAAGAATTTTAATATATAAAAATTATATCTCTTCATTAGACATAACTTAGTATTCTTATAGAATATAATTTTATATAAATCATGATTCTCTATGAATCATGTCACTTTACAAAAATAATATAATATTCTTATTGGATATTGATATGTAACAGTACTACAATATTTTTCTGGATTATTGATTTATATTATTACTTCTTTGGGAATATTAACAAAACATTCTCTTAGAATATTAATATTATGCTTCTTTAGGACACAACATTGTATTCCTCAAAGACAGTAATACGTATTATTTTATACTTCATCAGAGCAATAACGTGATATTCTTATGGAATAACGTTATATAAAAAATTATATTTCTATTGGGGTATAATATTCTTAGAAAATATTTAAATAACGTGTTGTATTTTTTTTAAGAACATCAAACATCATAGTTTTCTAGAATAATATAATATTTATTTATACTTCTTCAGGACCATAAATATTATTGAATATTTATTATAAATAATATTAAATGATTAAAAAAAACAACTTTTAATGAATAAACTTACTAGAAGAAGAAAGAGAGCAATTAAATTGACGTACTTTTCAGATTGAATAGATGTATAATTCTTTTAAGTAGTCATAAATCTTAGTAGCCCAGATTTGATTTGCATTTTTATTTATTTATTTATTTATTTTTTTTTTTGATTCATGCTTCCAACCATGATTATATCTTTTCGAGTTTGTTTTAACACAAAGACGAGAAAAAAGTAGATCTCAATTGAATACAAAAAGGGATTCACTTTTGATAACTCGATTGATTAGAATTTCATGTTGATAACGTGTTATAAAATAAAAGAAAATAAAGAAATCAATAAACTTGTATGCGTAATTTATTAAAAATAAAAGCTCCATATTTATATGTTACAATTAGGACTGTAGGGATACAATAATCACTCACAAATACTATTTTATTTGCCACAGAAATAAATATTTTAGTTATTTAAGTTTAGTATTATCATTTTATATAAAAAGAAAATTTGCAATGAATGTTCCAAATCTTTCAAAAATGTGTATTATGGTTTGAAATCTTAAAATTATAGTAATTACATCCCAAACATTTCAATAAATGGGCAATGAAAGGACCTCCAATTGTTTCCATCCAAAAATCTATTAGCTAACCAAAAGTTAGACGTCTGATGTCAATTTAACCAATTTTAAAAAGGACAAAATGCTCTGTTAAAAATTTTACTTAATTAAAATAATTTAAAAAATTAAGCAAAAAATAAAAATAAATTAGAAGACACATAAAAATTTAAAAAAAAAAAATCATCTTCCCGGACTTCAACCCCCAACCCTACCTATGGAACAAAACTACTACTAAAAGATATAAAACCCCACAACCACAAAAACAAAGAATAAGCAAATAATGCTCAATTTCGAGTAGAAAATGGAAAATTTTCAGGAAATTAGTAGTAGTAAATCATTTGGAATCGTCTGAATCATTACTTGACGAAGAAATTAAATCATTTGATAGTAAAATAGAATTGAACATACACTTAAGTGGTGAATCCGAGATTGGAGATTAGTTGGGTGGATGTTAATCCTTGAATTTTAACTGTCAACAATCAACGGTCATAATAGCAAGATCATTTATTAATATTTAATTAATTAATATTACAAATTCTTCAATCTATACTTAAATGCACTAAAACGTAAAAATCATTACATAGTCTGCATATGCCCCAATCTATTTTACAGTTAAAATTGGTTCAAAAATCGAGAACATTTTGAAAAATAAAGCCCCACTTATTCTCCATTATTCTTTTTCAGTTATACTTAGGGGTGGACAAAAAGTTCAGACTAAACTAGAACCGAACCGAACCGAACCAAATGATTCGGTTCAATTCTATCAAAAAATTAATGATTTTGGTTCTTTGAATCGAGATCCATTTGATAGTGGTTCTGGTTCGACTCTAGTTCTAGAACCAAGAACTAAAAGCAAACTTAATGTTTGATCTTATTTTTTTACATGTATATTAATTAGTGGATACCCTAATTTTGTATTTATTGAAGACAACCCATTAATTGATTTTGAGTAATTGGAGACAACTCATGAATTGTGCGTACCATTATTTTGTATCATTTTGAATCATTTCTCCTTAATTGCTTTTTCAATTTACACAACATCGCGGCACCTAACATTACATTTCATCAAGACAGTGGAATAGACTTTTTTAAGATCGAAAAGTGAAATTGGTCAGTTACTTAAAAAATCTTTAAACTATTTTTTTTATCTTGATTGTTTGATGAATTTTTTGTACTATTCACAAATTGAGGAAAATTCAATAACATTCAAGGAGTATTAAACGGTTAATGGTTGCCTATAAAAGTGGACGTCGAGGATTTGTGTAATTCATCCTTTACCATAGGGATGGGATGTCAAAACTAGTGTAACTAATTTAATAAATCATAACGGCAGCACTTCTGATGGGTCTAATACAATGGAACGATAGGAAAAAAAATTAAACGACATCGTTTTCTTCTGATGAAATGAGAAAAAAAAGGAAATTGTTGGAGGACGACACATATTTACGACACTTGTCCAGATTAACGGTAGCACTTCTTAAACTCTTTCATATACGTAGTATCGGATATTCTTTTGAATAAAGCTACAGGTACAGATTGGGTTTCACAGGGTCTTTACAGGATTTGAATTTGGATACGTGGCAGTTCATCAAATCAACCAAAAAGATCAAAAAAGAAATAGAAAAGTGAGGGAAAAAGAACCATTTGCTCAACCCGTGTATAGCTCCCCCAAATTGGAGAACCCATATTGCACGAGAACAACTCCGGCATCTTCCGGTGGAAATCGCAAAAACAATGTGTTTTGTCTCATTTATCACACGTTGCCCGACCATATACCTTCAACTTCCAGTGTTGGGAGGCATGAAAATTCTCGTCCCTTTCACCTATTCAGTTCAAACCTTGGACACCTTCTCCAAAGCCATCTCCTCCATTCATAACGGTGAGACAAAATCGCCGGACTCATCTCCATCTTCGGCTCGAAACAAGTGAAGAAGGTACCACAGTAGCATTACCCAAACATACCTGCCGAGATTTAAAGGAAGTGAGCCTTGTTTTTCACCTCCCCCATCACGAAAGCACCACCACAGTTCTCCTTCTTCGTCCGACGCCAAACCACCATTGAAGAACACATCTCCGTCAAGTTTATAAAGGTAATGGGGGAATTAATTATGTTATAAAAATTCAGACCTAGATGATATAACATAATTATTGATGTGCGATTGAGATTTGTGTGAATGGTCATTTATTTAGGAGGTGGAGTTGATGAATAACAAGCTTTTTTAGTCAAGAATTTGCTTGTTTGAGAATTCAAGCAGTGAGTCTGAAAAGGGGGCGGAGTTGGTGAGATTAATAGAAGAAGATATGCATCTTATTGCTCTGTTCTTTACTGCAGCAAAGTGTTTAGGAGGAAATGTGGGGATGGTTTTGGTTCTTTAGGAAGATATGCCTAATGCCTGTTGTAGGTGTTGTGATTTTAAGTTTTGAAAACTTTAGCATTGAACACAAATTATTCTCGATCTTCTTAGTTCGCGTAGTATTGACATTTGTTTTATGTGGTTGTTTTGCATCTTAGAATGGGAGGAAGGAATGCTATATGTGGTCGTACTACGAGAATCAAGCGGCGAATCCTGCTGCTAAGGAAGACGTCGAAAATTTATCAAGCGTGTTTGAAACGCTAGCTCGAATAAGTACGAAAGGAGACGTCGAGATTTTATTAAATGTGACATTCCATAAGGGAAAATGATTGAGTGGGGAATTCGAAAGGAAAGGGGCTGGCTTGATTAGTAGTGAGGAGGGGGATTCTAATATTATTGTAATTTGTATTTGATATTGGAAAGTGTGTGTAAACTTTGTTCCTTTTATTATGTTTGGCATTAGTATATCTCATTGTTGCCATGGAGTTGAGCTCTGCATTTTATGTTGAGGGTGAATGCTTAAAATATTGAATAATAGTAAAGGAGTTTAATGAAATGAAGTTAATATAATTTGAGTTGCCGTGATGTTTAACATTTCCCGTCAAACGTCCACATAATCTGTCCAAGTTGATGTCTTAGACATTACAAGATAAAATTGGAAGAGACCTACAATAAAGCAATTTCATTGAAGCCATTACACAAAATTACAAAAAATTTATAACTCCTTGTAATATCACACTATTTGCACCTTACACAATCACAAACAAATATAAACAAATTTCCAAAATTCAGCACTTTCACAGGTTATAAACAAATGGAAAACTGATTCCAAATCAGATTCCAGCAAAATCAAGTGACAGAATAATGCGCAGCTTCGAAAATCTTCCAAAATCAGCATTCATAAAAACCAAGTGTATCTCTTCTATACCAATATTCTTGCTTGATGCTGCAAAACAAAAAAGTACATATAATATGAGACAATATGAGGATTTTCTAAGGTTTATTCTGGGAAAAAAAATAAAAATCTTACACATTAGTGGATTAACTAATAGCCACCGTTGAATTGCATTGTTGAAAAATGTACAACACTAATCCTTGCAAATACAGATCTTCCAAAGCAGCAAATACTGGAAATAAAAAATGCACAACGCTAATCCTTAAAAACACAAATCTTTCGAAGAAGCGGGTGTTGGAAATTTAAAATTGCACAACACTAAAGAAAATGAGAAGAATGTGGCTCACGTGGGCAAACACCGAGGTGGAGAATCTGGCCAGGACTCCGTATGATCTTCCCTGGCAAAAATGCACTGTGTGGTTCAGATGAGAAAACACCGGAGGTGTAAGCTATGGTCGGGCATGGCGATTGTAGCCGGAGTAAACCGTCGGGATGGAGTTTTCAGGGCTTAGGAACTCGGGGGAAGAGAATTTTCATGCCTCTTCAACACTGGAAGTTGAAGGTATATGGTCGGACAACGTGTGATAAATGAGATAAAGCACATTGTTTTTGCAATTTCCACTGGAAGACGTCGGAGTTGTTCTCGTGCAAAATGGGTTCTCCAATTTGGGGGAGTTATACACGGGTTGAACAAATTGTTCTTCTTCTCTCCCTCTTTTCCCTCACTTTTCTATTTCTTTTTTGATCCTTTTTTTGGTTGATTTAATGAATTGCCACGTCGTCAAATTCAAAATCTGTAAAGTCCATGTGAAATCCAATATGTACCTGTAGCTTTATTGTATTCTTTTAGCACCTCGACCAATTTTTGAAACATTGGTATTTATGTGTATGGAATAAACTTTTGGGATTTATTATTGGGTAATTAGCACAAAACATCCCTACCTTTTGATATTTTTGTAAAAAACGTTCCTACCTTTTATTTTTTGGCGGATTACACCCTTACATTTACCTTTTTTTGCGCAAAACGTCCTTCTATCAATTTTTCGTTAAAATGCTCCGTTAAATCAAAAGGTAATTAGCACAAAAGGTCCCTACCTTTCAAAGTTATTGTGCAAAAGTCCCTATCTTTTATTTTTTAGCATAATTAGCAGAAAATATCCCTACCTTTCAATATTATTGTACAAAACGTCCCTACCTTTCATTTTTAGCATTTTTACCTCTACATTTCACCTTTCATTGCGCAAAAGGTCATTTTCATCGATTTTTTCAATAAAATGACGATTTTACCCTCCTATTGAAATAAAACAAAAAGAAAAGAAAAAAATAATTAATTAATTGCAATCATAGTTCTAAATCTTTTAAAACATTACAGATAAATTCTAAATTCTCCACTACCGCCACTTTCACAACCCCACCAAGCCACCACCTATAGATCCATATAGCACCACTTTTCGACCACAACACCTATCGGACTCCACCACCACCAGCATCGCCTCACTCTCCCCAATATCCTCCTCCATAGTATTGGTCACCAATCTATCCGAAACAAACACATTTACGGTGGTGGAGTCCAGTGGGCATGGTGGCCGAAAGGTGGTATTATGTGGATTTATAGTTGGCAGCTTGATAGGTTGTGAAAATAGTGGTGGTTGAGAATTTATGATTTTTTTGTAATTTTTTAAAAATTTAAGGACTATGGTTGCAGTTGGTAATTCATCTTTTCTTTTTGTTTTATTTGAATAGGAGAGTAAAATCGTCATTTTATTGAAAAAATGGATGAGAAGGACCTTTTTTGCAATGAAAGATGAAAGGTAGGGGTGAAAATGCTAAAAAATAAAAGGTAGTGACGTTTTTCACAATAACATTGAATGTAAGGACCTTTTGTGCTAATTATGCCAAAAAACGAAAGGTAAGGACGTTTTGCACAATAATATTGAAAGGTATGGACCTTTTGTGCTAATTACCTATTGATTTAACGGAATATTTTAACGGGAACTTGACAGAATGACGTTTTGCGCAAAAAAAAGGTAAAGGTGAGGGTGTAATCCGCCAAAAAAGAAAGATAGGAACGTTTTCCACAAAAATATCGAAAGGTAAGGATGTTTTGTGCTAATTATCCTTTATTATTTAATAAAAGATTTATAAAAATAAAAAATAAAAAAAGAAGAAGAAGAAGACAAATTTCGAAATTTCATTCCCAAAATGCCCTTTGCTCTCACGGGAATTGTTTATCATCAAACAGATAAGGAGCATACATCCCCAGATCAGGTGTGTTCATTACGTCGCCTTCCCCTTCTCCCAATCCTCGTAACAATGGAAGCAAATCTCTTCACTTTGCCCTCCTTCAGACCGCCACCTCCATACACATCCTCCACTACCCTTTCCCTCAAGTACCATTTCAACAATCTTTTCCTCACCACCAAAACCCAACGTCCCAAATTCCCATCCAAGACTCAAAATTTACCCAAAATCCAAGCTGCCATAACCAGGACCAAGAAAGAGGAAACAGTAGAAAAGGTCAAGCAAGAACTTGAAAACTGCCATCTCTTGGCAGGCATTAGTTACAAGGGCTTCACTGTTAAACAATTCCAAGAACTTAGAACCCAACTCCCTGAAAATACTAAGCTTTTGGTTGCTAAGAATACTCTTGTTTACAAGGCCATTGAGGGGACCAAATGGGAGGCGTTGAAACCGTGTATGCAGGGCATGAATGCGTGGTTTTTTGTGCACAGTGAGGAAATCCCAGCTGCGTTGAAGCCTTACAGGACTTTCCAGAAGGAGCAAAAGCTGGATGATAATGAGTTTACAGGAGCTGTTTTTGAAGGGAAATTTTACGGGCCGGACGAGTTTAAGGCATTGGAAAATTTACCCACAAGGGCTGAGATTTATGCCAAGCTTTTGGGGGGTTTGAAGGGCCCTGCTTCTGCTGTTGTTGGCACTATTCAGGCCCCTGCTAGAGACTTGGTCATGTTGCTGAAGGCCTACTGCAAGAAGCTTGAGGAGGAGAGTGGTGCTGGACAATAACTGTTTGCTTGATTGGTGGGCATCAATGGTATATAAGCGCCTTTTTTTTTTTTTTTTGTTCCTTCAAGTTTAGCATTTCTAAGTGTACGGAAATCAGTATAATTTTTTATACAATGGATTACGTATCGATGATTAATTTTAACTGATATTTCCCTCATAATGTTGAGCATTGAGCTGGTGTGTCTAAAGTTGGGCTGAATAGGATTAAAACTAGTAATCGATTACTGGGGGAACTAGAATTTTTATATTGCAGAAAATTTTCGATTCTTGTTTCTAGGCAGGAAAATAGTCATGAAGTTTTCTTAATGGTTTCAAACTGAAAGACATATTATTGAAACAGCTCTCATGAGCATGACCAAGATAAATAATTCATATATTGTATAATGGATTTTGATGTGCCATTACTATCAAAGCTTTAAGGCATCTGCTAATCTTGCTGCCACAAGTTTGAGAAAACATTTATAGATACTCAAAATGCAACTGCACTTGCATAACCACTTTAGAAATCACTTTGATTGAAAGTGGACCTATTTCTACCTTGTTGTGTCTCGAATTTCTTCATCCTTCTTACCCTTCTCAATAAGTACACCCTACCCACATGGAATCATGACACAATTACACTCCTACCATTCCAGAAATATTGTCTGCTTTGAAGTTTCCTGCATAGCAAGAGATTACTGGATAATGTGGCCCCTTTGGATATAGCTCATTGAATATATGATGCTTGCAATTGAACATCGAGAACTAAAATTTGAAAAATTCAAGAATTTGTAATATTCTTGTTCCGTGATGTATGGACACATATGTCCGACACGACAACTAGCACACGATTTTTCAAAAAAGTATTGATGCGACACGTCGTCGACCTATTGATTAAATACCTTAAAATTCTTCATTTATATAGGATAAATTGAGCTTTTTACTTTTATTAATTTTTCTTATTTAAATCTTTTAAGTATGACTACCTATTTGTTATTTAATAATAATTTTGAGTTAAAAATATATAATATTTTTTATAAAGGAGAAAAATGATCATGGTGGAGTGTTTGAAAAGTGTCGGTATCCGACGTGTGTTTGACACGTGTCGGACATGAACACCTCACCTAGTTGAAATGTCCATCCAACATAGTTCTTGCTGAATTGATTTGTTTTGTAGTTTATAGCTCCAGTTGCTAATATATTTATATGTTGGTCGATGCAACTTTTGATAAAACTTTAATTTTCTTAGAAATTTTGGTGATGACTTAGGCTGGTGAATAATGTTATCAGTATAAATTATGGCTCTGGTAGTACAATGCACTCATGGCCTTATAGAAGATAGTAAGTAGCATATATGCAAGTCTGCACTGGTAACCTTATGAAGTATGAACTGGGTGCTTTATCCTTTAGTTACCCTTTTTTTTTTGGCAATCATGTTTCCAGATAATAATCTTTAGTAGTTAGCAAATGGATTATGTGGCCTCGATCAATTGACTTGGAGCCAGCCCTCTGGCTTAATGGTTTTTTTACTCATGCTACGATGACCATGTTATGAAAGATGGAAGCTTTGTTCAGAATGATGGGCAGAAAGCTTCTACAGTGGGGCTTTTAAGTCAGTCATCAAATATCGGGGCTAAATCCTGGACCAGCAGTGGAAACTACTGAGCCCGTGGAAAGAAGACGCGTTTAGTAGCTAACATGTCTTGAGTTCTTATGGCACTGGTGTTATTTTGACATTGTTGATTGTTTATATTATAAGATGACTTGCGAATTAGTGCTGCACCATGTTTAGAAGTCTTAATTTTTGTTAGGGACCTCTTGCTTCTTGGCGATGTTCACAGCTAAACCAGTGTCTCCTTTCTTCCCTCATAGCGGAAACGGTTATTGAAGGATCATTTCATGCATTGCACACCAGTCTCTTGCTTAAGCCCCCCCCCCCCCCCCCCCCCCCCCCCCCCCCCCCCCCCCCGCCCAGTCCCGTCCATTGTCTCATAGAGATCACTGTCATTTCATGCATTGCACACCAGTTTCTTGCTTAAACCCCCCTGGTCCCGTCCATTGTCTCATAGAGATCACTGTCATTTCATGCATTGCACACCAGTTTCTTGCTTAAACCCCCCTGGTCCCGTCCATTGTCTCATAGAGATCACTGTCATTTCATGCATTGCACACCAGTTTCTTGCTTAAACCCCCCTGGTCCCGTCCATTGTCTCATAGAGATCACTGTTTTACAGACGCAGAATTTAGACTTATATGTATGGCCTGTTATCTGTTGGTAATCCTTTCTCCCGTGATATTAAATTGGCTCACATTCTTTGGACTCCTTTGTTCACAAGGCACCTCTATATTAGTTGGGACTACCTAATTGATATGGGTAATTGCAACATACACACAGATGAACTTCAACACTGTTCAAACATGGTAGCTTCGTGTGTGAATTCTTGGAGTTGTTATTTTAGGGTTAGAACCCGTGACAAATTAGATAGTAGTAGTTCTATATCCGTGTCCTTGCCCATGTAGAATGGATGTAATTTGAGTTAGGCACTTGGGATGATTCAAGAACTGACAGCATAAAATAATGGAGAAATGATTTTAGAATATCATTAATTACACGAATACATTAAACGAAATGCTGAAATCAACACTGTAAACACTTTTATAACAATGGAAAAGTAACAATGAAAATAACCCTCTATGGAGTTAGGTATACTGTAAAGTGTGTAATTGTTTCAAGTCCATCTGTTGTGTGCTGATCCACGTGGGGAAGAGTTTCAATGGTGGCATACCCTTTTGCGTTCTCATACTTTCCGGTTCCACCAACAATAGCAATGTGGGATATCGGAGTAGCTGTTCTGTGAACTCCAAAGAAACTGATGGTGTCATCAATTTCGTGATCATGACCTTGAAACAATGCTGTCAGGACAAGCGTATGGCTGCTGCCATCCGAGGAGCTCGACATGTAAAATCCTTGAGCTTTTCCAAGTACTGCTGATCCCAGTTCATGCCCTTCAGTTATCTCATTGTCGACCACAGTTATAGAACCAAACATGAGCTGCTGAAGGGTCAGACCAGCCGGAAGCTGCCCTGCAGTGACAAATGCTTGGTTATTTCCACCATTTACTATGTCGTTGTTACCACTGTTTTGTAAGACAGTGTTGGCTGGTGAACCATTGAGGCCAACGAGGGAGGGGAAATTATTGTTGTTGATGACGCCATTGATCGTGTTGAGTGGAACACCACCATTGATTGGGAATATTTGGTTGTTGGGCTTGGAGAAAGGGAGGTTATTAGCATCAGAGTTGGCCACAATACCCGTGACCACCCTTCCAGAAGGATTTGAACCACCAAGGATATCGTGCATGAAAAAGGACAACAAGGGTGGTGATTCTGGAATAGCATTTGCTGGTGTGGCACTCACTGTCGTGGAGGCAGCACTACTGATTGCTCCGCTCGGTGTTGCTGTGGCTGGTGGTGCCAGATTGGTGGTCGGTGCTGGCTCTATGTCGGGAGTATCATTTTCAGGCGCAACAACTGGAGCAGCTGGTTCAGTCGGATTAACAGGGCCAGCTGTGGTGGCTGACAATTGTCCACTTGGTAATATAGTTGCGGGAGCCACCACTGGTGCCACATCCGGTATGTTGGCCTGGAAAGGTAATTGTGGGGTGTCATCATCAAGTATTCTGGCTGAACTAGCGCACCGGAAGGTGGTGGCTAGCAAGAACAAGCAGATGATTGAGTTGAGTGGTTTAGAGGGTAGCGTAAAAAGCTTAGCCATTTGGTTGTGAAGAAGAGGTAAAATTTAATGGTATGAATGCAGAGACTAATTTTTGTTGATACATATATAGTTTTGAGTAGGCAGTAATGGAAAGTGGAGCTGGAGAAATGGAGTTAGTACATGCCCAAAGGCTTGACCAGATAAAGAACCTAGACTGGAAATGTTGGTTTTGTTGAGTACTAATGGTTTTGGTTGCAGAACCACTACCCTTTAATCCTCAAAAGGAAAAGGCAAATTGAAGATTACTTTTCTATACTCCTCAATGTACCGTACTATCAAATGGAAAACAACTCCGTTCCCGCTAGCGTATAAAAATTGGTATTATGCTATTTGTACAAAGTTGGTTGACGAAATAAGCGTTGGTAAAATTCAGGCCATTAATTTTCTGTAATTTAAAAATCTGTTTTTGAAATGATCGATGTAGATATTATTTGGTTAACCAACTTTGTACACATGGCATAGCTCATAAAAATTGTGCATTGATTAAAAAAATTAAATTCGACTAGCGGGTGTGAAATGTCAGGATGGTCCTCCCGAAGGAAATTTGCAGGAGGGTCGTGATTAAAATATCCTCATTTCTCATTATGTTTCTCCGTTTTTTTTTTTTTTTTAATATGATGTATATTTATAAATATAGAATGAAAAGGATTGCGATCGATCACGTTTAGGTGTTATAGTAAAATTATTGGTTTATAAACATCTTGGGTCCAAATTCGAATTCTTGGTATAATTTAGATTTTGGCATTATCCGTATTATTCTATCCATTTGTAATAGAAGTTTAGTCGTTAGGAATAACATTTTATTAAAAAGGGGAGTATTACTCCTACAACGGTTTATGCCAAATAAAATTTGACAAAGAATTTTATCCATTAATATGAATCAATCTATTGGTTCATATTTATTTTCTTGAAATCTTCTAAAATTTAGACATTGGCCACACCCCAATACCCTTATTCCCCACCCCACCTCTCAATCTTCCTAACCTATCCCCGCCCCCTTCCCTCCCCTCTCACCATACTTACTCTGTTCCCGACTTGGGGAGAGAGAGAGAGAGAGAGAGAGAGAGAGAGAGAGAGAGAGAGAGAGAGAGAGAGAGAGAGAGAGAGAGGGTTTGGGATTGAATTGTGTGGTGGATGAATTGATTTTTGAATTGTTACACATGCACACAATAAAAATAACTGATTTTTGAATTAATAAACTTAACCTATGATTTATGAATTGAGATTTTGAAAAGACTAGTGCCTATAATTTTTACAATATTTTATTACGTGAATATGTGATTGAAAATGAGTATGAGAATTAAAAATTTTTAAGGCTGTTGAAAGCAGGTTTGGTCGAGTGAAATATTTCGAATCTATGAGCAATGCCCCGATACAGAAATTTATATATTTCGAATCTATGAGTAATACTCTAGACGTACAACCCCTCACAATAGAGAGACCCACGAACAATGGAATAATCATGGGTCCCCTATTGTGAGAGCCTGTACCCCAGCGTGTTCACATAGCAAATCCTTATGCAAATACTCGTGGGTGGAGGTAAGCATTGGGGGTGTGGCCAATTTTTGAACTTTTTATACTCTTGACAAAATAAATCTGAACCATTAAATTGATTTATATTAATGGATGAGATGCTTTGTCAGATTTATTTGTCATAAATCTTTGTAGGAGTAATGCTTTTCGATAAGTGTATTTTGTACACTTCTTTGGGCCTTCTAAGGTAACGTATTTATTAGTCATTTTGATGAATTATGATTTAATTCTATACATACTGTGTTTGTTAGGTATAAATCAATATAAATGATAAAATTGAAGAAAAAGTGTAAAAATAGCCTCATTGTAAGAGATCAAAAGTTCGAGAACTAAAGTGCAAATACTTAAAAAGTTGTGTTAGGCTTTAAGATGAAGATTCGAAATGTGCTAGGGGTCAATTGGATGAGAAAAAATTCAAACGGTAAAATATAATCAAAGTATTATCACACATCAAATTTCAGTTGAAAAAAAGTTATGCTCTAGATTTTCAGTCTCAGTTTGGACCCATTTTTTGCATAACAAACATTCGAATTGAAAAAATTTATATTTTCTAAAAGAATTGTAACATTTTTTATTTAACTTCTAACACACTTTAAATCTTCTCAATCGAATATTAGAAAAGAAAGTTATAATAAAAATACTAATGATCTCGAGATATAACTAGACGTGCACATGATCCTCTCCTAGCATCGTTAGAAGCCAAAAATAGTCTTAGAGGCCTACGCCTCACTTACAAGTACGCCTTGTTCATTCCCAGAGAAAGATTTTTGTTTCTTTTTTCTTGATCCGGCTATGTATAGAATGGTATCTTTAGCATTTTATTATATATAACCTAAATAAGGTCCAGAACCTGAAAAATGATAATTTTATCATTAAAGAGAGTTTAACAAGCAGTGAAAAAGAATTCTGCAACAAGATTTGAAGTTTTAAAGCTCAGGTTGAAGATTGAAGTGCAAGAATTTAAAATTTTGAGGAGTTCATTTATTCTTTATTTCGGGTGATGTCTTTCCATATGTTCTTGTATAATTTTGAATATCATAATGTTAGGCTAAAAACATTTTGAGTTATTTTTCTAATTTAATACTTATCGTATTTTAGTTATTTCTTGTGTTTACGATTAAATGAGCATGAATATGAATATTGTATTATTTGATTACTTAGCTACCAATTAGATAACTTGTTGCTTCTTTAAAAGCTGAGAGATTCATAACAAGTAGAACACTGCATATTTGACATGCAGACACTAGTTATTGAGAATAATATTTAGGGTGATTGAATGCTTTCTTTGTATATGAATTCGGATTAGGAATATGGTCGGGCTAAGAATAGGTAAAATATATTTTGAAATGAAATATTAGATATTAATGGATTATTATCGATTGTCATCAATATTTGAATAACACTTGCTTACTTAAGTCAAGAATTCAATATAGAAATTAATGGATGAATTTTAAAATTCAATACGTTTATCTCATTATTTGATAAAATCAATCCTTTACATTATTAATGACTTAATTTAATTAGAATAATCACAAATATCACATCTCTTTTGTACTATCAACATCGAATTTGATAGAAACCAATAAACTATAGTATTCATTTATTTCTCTTGGGACGATAACTCAACTAATAAATTCTATTACTTGTTAACAATCTTGCACGCTTGTGAATTTTGCCCAACGACTTCTCTATAATGTTGCTGTGATTTTGATTATTAAAGGACCGTTTGGAATGGATTTTTGAAAAGTTAAAATGAGTTTTTGAGACTTAAAAACTGTTTTTGGACCTGTTTTACTAATTTTATGAAATTACTTATTTTAGCTAGAAGAACTTTTAATGGAAGCTAATCCAATGTTACTTTTCTCTAAAAACACTTCTGGAATATAAAATTCTTTTAAAAATTAGTTTTCCAACAAAAATAAAAGTAGCTTTCTTGAAAAGCTTGTCTATAGAAAACAAAAGTAAAAGTAAAAGTCATGCCAAATGAATTCTAAATCTCTTGTAGTGGACGAAAGTAAAAGCAAAAATCATGTCAAACAAACTCTAAGTCTCTTATGGTGGAGATTAAAATCAAATTTTTAATAAATATCAATAAAAATTGATAAAATTTGTGATTCACTTTAATTTAAATCAAAAGTGTGGGAACTAAGAAATGTTTCGAATGAAGAATGAATCTCTCTATGTTGCGTTATTTAGTCCCCATTTGACAATCATTAAAATAGAATTTTTTTTCAAATTTATTTTCAATCACAAATTCTTATAATAAAATATTTTGCACGTAAATTCAAAATTTATTCCTACTTTTTAGTCCCTCTTTGAATTTTTATTTTTTTTTTTTGGGTAGAATGAGTTTTTGAATAGTAAAATATTTGAAGAATGTATAGTTAAAAAATCAAAAAACTTTAAGTTTACATAAAGAATATTTTACTCAAGAATATGTGTTGAAAATAAGTATGAGAAAAATAGAATTTTGAAAAAATGGTTAAAATACAAAGCCTTAACTGCATATTTTCCAAAAAATCACTACTTCAAAGTTCGTTTTACCCAAAAATTTCATTTTAGTGGTGGTCAAATAGGGGCGTAAATATACAAGACAAGATCATGGCGTTCATTCTCCATGCCCAAAAACTCAACTCAATCACTGAGTGAGTTTATTATCCGATATCCACAAAACAACCAACTCTTATAGCCCTTGTTTAGCCGCCATTATTTGAAATTTTAATAGTTGAAATATCAATTTTATGAAGAATGTGTAGTTAAAAAAATTTGGAATTATGTTTAATATTATTTCATTAAAAATATGTGATTAATAAAAAAAGAGAAAAAAATAAATTCTAATTCTAATGAGGTCAAACAGGGGCATAATAATTTTTTAAGAAAGGGAAATGATGACGAGATTGGATGGATGCTGTTGGTTGATTTTACAACTAAACTCTTAACATTTGACAAGCCGATCAATGGAAGAGCATTCTACTTGGGACTTCACGCTTTATTTGAAATTCCCATTAATGTTGTGTTGTGTAGAGATCGACCGACTTGCTACCGTCTCACGTCAATTATACAATGCAATTTTCACCGCATTTACTATCACAGTTAGTCGATTGGAATTATGAAGCTCCAAATGCAAACATATCAGATGCATTCTTTGGTTATCTTAGAGCATGTTTGGTACAGTTTAAAACTCAATTAAAATCAAATTTTTTATTGTTATTTCATTATTTCAGTCGTCATTTTTGAAACGGTCAAAAAATCAATTAACAAAATCCCTACCAAACAAGTACTTAAATACATCATTGATAAAAGTATTATAAGTAGAGTCGTACAGTCTAGTACTTATAACTTTAAATTCTATTTATAAACAGATTATTAATAAATTAACTATCTAGTTGATCCTCATTTTCTAAACTCATTTTTAACCATATATTTTGCCCTTATTTGGTCTAAGATTAATGGTTATGTTACATATATATATATCACAATTTATAGATTTGTTTACTAACAGATGATGTGACAAGATTTGATTGAGTCAAAATCTCATCAATTAAAAAAAATACTTCCTCACTTTCTTTTTGACATTTCATCATCCAGTAAATTGTAAAAAATTATTTAAATGTTGATGTACAACAAAGATTTTTCTGAGATAATCTCAAATCAAAGCCAACAATTAATCTTGCCTACAGTTTTATGAGACTCAAACTTTTCAACAACAAATTTCATTAATTTTTATCAAAATCTATTAAAAATATATAACAAAAGTGACTTCATCATAAGATCCACAAACTATATCAACTTTTCAATCACATATTTCATCAATTCTTATCAAAATATATTGAAACT